GGAGGAGGAGGAGGAGGAGGAAAGATTGTGGCAGATGCAGCGCAAGTCTACTGGCACTATAAACCCCAGCGCAAGTCACCGTCCCTGCTCCCACCACCTGTTGTGGGGCATACGGTTAACATCGTCGAAATCGACAGTCGAACTCTCTGCGTGCATGCGTGCGTGCGAACTGGGAGTCAGGCTGCACTGGTTCCTTAATGTGGTTCTTCTTTTACTTCAACACAGGGATCCGAGCCGTGTGCGAGAACACGCCTAGGGGTGCCTCCGACCTCGTCGACCACTATCGCCCCACCTCCTATCTTCTTGACTCTGTCTTGGCACTAGGCTGGGGCGGAGGAGGAGGGAGGGGGAGTTTTGTTGGTGGCAGGTAATCTCGTGAACAATTTGGGAATTTACTACAGCGTGCAATCGCGTATGTTGCTGTGATAACAACTCTTAGTAACCATTTGAGCGTACAACAGCCGGAAAGGGGAGCCGATGCTTCAAAATTCTATCGAGAGTTGATATCTTGTGTCCGGACCTGATAAACTAAATGAAACAGGAACCAATGCATTAGGACAAAGGGATGCACCAGCGTGCCAGGCGTAGCCACACAACATGCCTAGCATGTTACGAAGGAAGAAACATGGCTAACGGTAGCAATTATTTGCTGACAGTCTACGCAGTAGATAAGTCTTGAAAATAGTAGCCTTCAGTTTGGTTACACTCTTTGCCTCGCATTTAGCGCTTGGACATGTCAAATCCATCTGGAGGAGGGCTTTTTGAAATTCACACGGATATGCCAGTGCTCCTGTCAGGCCGGATAAGCTCTGTGTCTCCGCTGGTAGCGCGTGGCAGCGACCAGACAACAACGCGTGTAGGCGGACTGCTCTGTAACGCATCCCACTTGCCTGCCGTTTGAGCTCCCCCCCCTGTCGATCTAAAAAACTGGCCTGACAGCGAGATCCAAATCCTTTGACAGGATACACTGCGGCGGCGGCGGCGGCGGTAGGCGCAAGCCCACACAGGCTGGGGAGAAGGGGCGGAGGTTGTTGTTGGCGAACGGCGTGTGGAGCTGTCAACTTGCCACTCCTACGATATGATTTTGGATCCGATCTGTCAGCTTTAATCTGGAGTCGGTAGGAGCAAAAACACGAGTGCCAGAAAGCAGTTGTGAAGGGGGGGGGCATGATGGCTAGAGCAAGAGCTTCCTTTGCCTGACGTTTCAGATTTCTGTTCTAACCTGCCATTAGTGACAGCAGCTGATATGTGTATACGCAAGTGGCCGCAGTATTTATGGGATGCAGTCGCCATGCCACAGCATACCTATGTAGATTTACAGCTCTCCCCTTGATCAGGGATTGGTGAATTTGACCTGATAATTGTTTGATGAGTGAAATTCGCGTCGGTAATCGCTGAAGTTTCATCACTGTTGTTAGATGTTGGTGCGATGACCAACTGACGCACCGACCCTGGGGTTGGGAATAGTGTTCGCCTGTGCGCTCTCCGCGTGGCTAAGTACTCTATCTTAACACCGAATCCAGAAGCGGAAGGCCACTGCACGTGTAGGTTGACTGGGAACCAATGAACCATGATTCAAGAAGCTCGCAGCCCACGCGGTTGTCAACTCCAGCGAGAATTTCAGCGCATCGAATTTGAATGTGTGAACGGATCCCGTCGAATAAGTCACAACTTGAGAACTGTTGCCGCGTGTTCAGTCATTCGTGTTCGGAGAAGTCTTCCGGTTTCCCCGACATAGTTGTTTTGTCCGTAACTATACCAGATCCGATAAACGACTCCAGACGTTTCTTGCCGTGGCAGTGGGTCTGTCGGACGCCTGATGGTCACCTTCGGTCTGTGTGCAACGCCAACCCCAAGTGGTGCGAGAAGACGTCTGACCGCCTCCGAAACGTCCGTGCGATCTGTCCCTTCGTCTCTTTTGCGTATACATCGGTTTTCGAAGTTGCGCGGGTAACCAGTGGCTTTGAACACCCGTCGAAGGTATTGTAATTTGGCGTCTGTAGTTCTGGAATCTTATATTTCCAGCCACCCAGATCACACTTTCAGTTCATAAGCCTCACGCCACCCATGCCCCAGACCACGGTGATCACAGACAGAACTCTGAATTATAACCAGGACAATGAAGAAAGACGTTAACTTATGAGGCTGAAAGTGAGGCTTTCCGTGTTTAAGAAAATTCTCAGCGTGCTGTGGCTTGTTTCACGGACATGATTTGATTGGAGGGTGAAATTTCGTGCGTTCCGTTTTACTTTGAAGTTTCAGGGCGGTCACATACTGCTGTAACTCGTTGCAGTACATAATCCAGTTACTGGAGGTTTTCTCTCACCGTACAAGTGACAATGGCCTTTTATATTACATCTCAGATATGCATTAGCTCACTAAAAGAAGGATGACGTCAGCGAGCGACGCCTCCCCAGAATTAGGGTGCAACAGCAGTCAAGGTGAAATAGTCACTAAATAAAACATGGCCATAAGAAGTACTAACAGCGTTCTACAAACTGCAGACATAGGACAAATCAGCTTTATGAAATCCGCTGCAGGACATCTGGTACTAAATTAAGTGCGATTGAGACATATTAGGCGAACGGGGAGATGTCACTTATTCACCGCCTGCAGTTCTGGACATTTATTTTTTCTAAGAAAATGTCCAGAAAGAAATCTGTTTTAGAAAAATAAGCGATGCATACACGCTATTGTACAGTCAGGCATTTGCGATCACAGTATTCACCATGGAGCAGTTCCATCTGACTTTAAATGATATCCAATCGTACCCATAGATTTCTAAACGCGGTTTTGAATAAGCAAGACCAAGCTAAATAGACACTGCACCATCCCCATCGGGAGCAACTTAATTCAGGGAATTTTGCGTAAAAAGCAGAAGACCTGGACTGAAAACACGTACGAAGCCTTTTTTCCGTGTAAAACCCTGACTATATGTGTAATTTGCAGACTGAAGACGTGAGATATTTACGTATACACCTTTACGGAATTCGTACATCTCTGGTCATTTTTAAATCACTGCCTTAACGGTGCGCTCAATTCTAATCAGGCGGAGGTTTAGTGACGAACTACCCAAGTTACTCATTCCAGTGTATAGCCGAGGCAAATATTTACTTGTCTGAACGGTGACGAGTCATCATAACTCAGCATTTCTATTTTAAGAAGAAACGGTGGCTTGCCGGGCCTAATTAATTATATTGCTAACGTTTGAGGGAGGTTGGATGGCTCACCATTGTCTAAGCGTTAAATGCACAAAACCGACCAGGAATTCTACCAACTTTCCGAGCTAGTTAATTTTGAGCTGATCGATTTTTTATTCGTTCGCTACCTTAGCCTTTTGGCGGATGCTTAGCAGGTTTGATAACCGCTTGCCTTATTAGTCATCATCTCAAAAAAAGAAAAAAATCGATAAGCTCAAGGCCGGCAGGCGAGTTCGCTGCGTGATTACTAATAAGCGGTTGTGAAATCTGCCAGATATCCGCCAAAAGGCCCAGGCAGGGAATGAAAAAAAGCGATCAGTCCAAGGCCG